ACTTTCTCTAACTTCTTGACGTGCTTGACCAGGTGTGGGTTCCAAACCGGTGCTGCATACTCCAGTATGGGCCTGACATACACAGTGCACAGTGTCTTTATTGGTTCCTTATTAAGGTATCGGAACGCTATTCTCAGGTTTGCCATGCACCCGTATGCTGCAACAGTTATCTGGTTAATGTGTGCCTTCGGAGACGTGCTCGGTGTTATGGTCACCCCAAGATCTTTCTCCTTGAGTGAGGTCTGTAGTCTTTGTCCACTTAGCCTATACTCTGTCTGCGATCTTCTTTGCACTTCCCCAATCTTCATGAATTTGCATTTGGTAGGGTTGAAGTCGAGAAGCCAGTTTCTGGACCACGTGTCCAGTCTGTCCAGGTCTCTTTGTAGTCCTGCCTGATCCTCATCCGATTTAATTCTTCTCATCAACTTCACATCATCTGCGAACAGGAACACTTCAGAGTTTATCCCTTCCATCATGTCATTCACATATGTCAAAAATAGCACTGGTCCTAGAACTGACCCCTGTGGGACCCCGCTCGTCACAGAAGCCCACTGTGATACCTCTTCACATACCATGACTCGTTGTTGCCTCCCTGTCAGGTATTCTCTGATCCATTGCAGTGTTCCCCCTGTTATATGCGCCTGCTTCTCCAGCTTCTGCACTAATCTCTTGTAAGGAACTGTGTCGAAGGCCTTCCTGCAGTCCAGGAAAATGCAATCCACCCAACCCTCTCTCTCATGTCTTACTTCTGTTACCTTGTCATAAAACTCCAGAAGGTTTGTGACACAGGATTTGCCTTCCATGATTCCATGCTGGTTGTCATTTATACTTTTGTTCCATTCCAGGTGCTCCACCACTCTCCTCCTGATAAACTTCTCCATGACTTTGCATACTATACACGTCAGAGACACTGGTCTGTAGTTTAGTGCCTCGTTTCTGTCTTCTTTCTTAAAAATGGGAACTATATTTGCCGTCTTCCATATCTCAGGTAGTTGTGCAGTTTCAAGGGATGTGTTGAAGATTGTGGTTAGGGGCACGCACAGCATCTCTGCTCCTTCTCTAAGGACCCACGGGGAGATGTTGTCCGGTCCCATCGCCTTTGAGGTATCAAGGTCACTTAGCAGCTTCTGCACCTCCTCCTCGGTTGTTCGTATGTTATCCAACGCTTGTTGGTATATTCCCTCTTGATGTTCCCTTCTGTGCTGTCTTCCCACAATAACCAATAACTCATTACAGTTGTGACCGGGTGTGGAAGTGTGAATTGCTCATTACTCTATAATTTGTTCATGATTGTAGCCAAAGTATAAACGTAAGTAACCATTCTACAGAATTCATTACCTTTGTAACTTGTGAGCTCATTACCTTTGTACCTAGTTCAGCTATCAAAACTTTGGGGGCCCAGTCCCTGGACCCATTACGTACCTCTGTAATCTGTAAATGCCTTTGTAACTTGTCATGATTGTGACCAGACTTACCTGGAGTTCATTACCTTTGTAAATTGTGAGTTCATTACCTTTGTAAATTGTGAGCTCATTACCTTTGTAAATTGTGAGTTCATTGCCTCTGTAACTTGCTCAGCTATCAAAACTTTGGAGTCCAGTCCCTGGACCAATTATGTACCTCTGTAATCTTTTGACTACCGCCCACAGGATGGGTATGGGGTGCATAATAAACATATTAAACTAACTAAACTTCCCACAGCCCTTCCTGTCTCTACTGTAAAAACTTCCTTAAATCTCCTGTTTAGCTCCTCACATACCTCCTGATCGTTTCTTGTGAGTTCGCCACCTTCTGTCCTCAGCCTGATCACCTGGTCTTTGACTGTTGTCTTCCTCCTGATGTGGCTATACAACAGTTTCGGGTCAGACTTGACTTTCGATGCTGTTATTTTCATACTGTCGCTGGGCCTCCCTCCTTACCTGTGCATACTCGTTCCTGGCTCTGCGACTAATCTCCCTATTTTCATGTGTTCTATGCCTTCTGCACTTTTTCCATTCTCTATTGCACTTAGTTTTTGCCTCCTTACACCGTCGGGTAAACCAGGGGCTCGTTCTGGTCTTCCCATTATTTCTGTTGCCCTTGGGAACAAACCTCTCCTCTGCCTCCTTGCATTTTGTTGTTTTGTATTCCGTCATTTCGTTTACTGACTTTCCTACCAGTTCTCTGTCCCACTGGTTGATCAGGCTCTGATCCACCAGGAGGCCTGGTCACAGACCGGGCCGCGGGGGCGTTGACCCCCGGAACTCTCTCTAGGTAAACTCCAGGTAGACTGAACCTCCTGCAGGAAGTTCCTCAAACCTGTGTAGTCCCCTCTTTTATAGTCTGGCTTTTCCCATTCAACTCCTGTTACCCTCTCCACTTGTAACTCTACTATGTATTCAAAACACAGAACCACGTAGTCATTAGCTCCTAGGGGACTCTCATATGTGATGTCCTCAATGTCTGAACTGCCCAGGGTGAACACAAGGTCCAGTTTTGCTGGTTCGCCCTCCCCTCTCACTCTGGCAGTGTCCTTAACATGTTGGTGCATGAGGTTTTCCAGTACCACATCCATCATCTTGTTCCTCCCATTGCGTCCTCTGAGGTGTTTTAGTTCCTTCCCTTGGGGCATGTGTGTGTGTGTGTGTGTGTGTGTGTGTGTGTGTGTGTGTGTGTGTGTGTGTGTGTGTGTGTGTGTGTGTGTGTGTGTGTGTGTGTGTGTGTGTGTGTGACCTCTGCACTAACACTCACTAGAATGGATGTTTGGTGTATATAACAGAACTATTCAAGGAACTAAGTATTAAGATTTTAACAAGATCTATTCGAGGCTAATAGCCTAAACTCTGAAATCATCTTAAACACAAGTATAATATATAAAGACCCGTATAGGCAAGTTTTCTCACACCTGCTGCCCCTGTTCACCAAGCAATAAATAGGTATCTGGGTATTAGTCTCTTGTGGGTTACATGCAATGGGTAATTTAAGGCCATTTGAGCGACAAGATGCACAATGTAGGATATAACACTTCTCAACATGTTATTGAGCTCCTCCCTCTTAACCCAATATGTGAGTTACAGTATACCTGGAGGGTGTTCTGGGGGTTAATGCCCCCCATGGCCAGGTCCACACAGTAGGTGTTCTGGGGGTTAATGCCCCCCATGGCCAGGTCCACACAGTAGGTGTTCTGGGGGTTAATGCCCCCCATGGCCAGGTCCACACAGTAGGTGTTCTGGGGGTTAATGCCCCCCATGGCCAGGTCCACACAGTAGCCACATAATGTTGTATCAAGTGTGACAATAAAGAAAGTTATTTATTGAATTTGTTTAATATATTTATCATTTAGAGAACATTTTATTAAGTTTGAGCATACCATTACATGACTGACCATTAGTTTAGGTAAGGTTTATTGAGGTATAACATATATACCTGGAGTATACCTGGAGAGGGTATCTGGGGTCATCGCCCACGGGTTCCGGTCTGCGACCAGGCCTCATGGTGGATCAGAGCCTGATCACCCAGGCTGTTACTGTCGGCCGCACGTAACCCGACGTACGAACACAGCCTGGCTGGTCAGGTACCGACTTTAGGTGTTTGTCCAGTGCCTTCCTGAAAACAGCCAGGGGTCTATGGTAATCCCCCCTATGTATGCTGGGAGGCAGTTGAACAATCTTGGGCCCCTGACACTTATTGTGCTGTCTCTTATGGTGCTAGTGGCAGCCCTGCTTTTCATTGGGGGGATGGTGCATCGTTTGCAGAGTCTTTTGCTTTCATAAGGAGTGATTTTCGTGTGAAAGTTTGGTACTAATCCCTCTAGGATTTTCCAAGATATAATCATGTATCTCTCCCGCCTGCATACTAGGGAGTACAGGTTGAGGAACTTCAAGCGTTCCCAGTAACTGAGGTGTTTTATAGCAGTTATGTGTACCGTGAAGGTTCTCTGTACATTTTCTAGGTCAGCAATTTCACCTGCCTTGAAAGGTGCTGTTAGTATGCAGCAATATTCCAGCCTAGATAGAAAAAGTGACCTGAAGAGTGTCATCATGGGCTTGGCATCCCTAGTTTTGAATGTTCTCATTATCCATCCTGTCATTTATCTAGTAGGTGCGATTGATACAATGTTATGGTCTTTGAATGTGAGATCCACTGACATTATCACTCTCATTTATTTTACAGTGGTATTGAAGGCACATAGTCAGTAGAGGCTTATGTTGTGTGTTTAGTAGATTTAGCCTAACTCATTAAACTTAAACATTGTGAATTATTTCCACCTGGATCCTTATTTCCAGTTAAGAAACAAGTTAACCACTGAGTCCTCTGATGGTGTTTAATAATGCACTTCGTAATCATTTACATTCTCTTAGTTTTCCACTGTGATGCAATAATTGCAACCCACAATAATGCGATATATATATAATATATAATATTTATATAATATATATAATATATATATATATAATATATATATATATATATATATATATATATATATATATATATATATATATATATATATATATATATATATATATATATATATATATTATATTTTACACTACATTATAATAATACGTAAAACATATGTTATTTTGGGAGATAACTAAAAATGTATATTTCTTTTATATATACACCATATGTAAGGTAATGATCAGTGTTGAGTGATGTCACACTCTTGGATCAGTGTAAAGATGCACCAGTTTCATATTTACCAATGGCAGAGTAAGGTTAAGTTGCATAATAATAGGTTGGGTTAGGTGGGTTTCATTAGTTAATGATAATAATATAATATAATATCTTTATTTCTACAAGTACATGCACAAGGTATACAGTCCTAGCTGACATCAATGACATACTACTATATAGAAAGCTCCTTGTTATGCTGAGCATTTCGGGCAAATCAGGTCAGTTTTGTCCCAGGACACCACCCACAACAGTCAACTAACTCCCAGGTACCCATTTTGCTGATGGGGAACACCCACAACCGGTGTAAAGAAACACACCCAATGTTTTTACTCTCGTTAGGAATCAAACCCAGACCCTCGCCGTGTGAAGGGAGAGCTTCAGCCACCAGGCCATGAGCTACCGTGGCCTGGTGGCTACTTGCACAGCAAAATAGTACCTTAGCTGTAAAATAAATGTAATATTGTACAGTTTGAAATATAATTAACTGCTGGAATGCAGCGAGGAGCAGTAGTCTATATTATAAAAAGAATTAGCTGTGTTAGCAGCCATCATGCAGGAACACTTTTTTGGGTTATCCAAGGTAATTTTTTTTTAATTTACACATATGTTACTATGTATGATACTTGTACTAAAGTGCACCTGTACCTAAATAAACGTAGTAACTTAGTTACTTAGTTCATCTTAGGAAAAATATATTCAACGTCAAATGACAGCTGGTGCAACATAAACACCATAAACTGAGGTAAATAAGAATCATATATCTTAAAAAAGAATCAAAAACTACAAAATAGTAATGAGTAAATTTTTGTGGGATTTGGAGAGACTTGTGATCCTCATTTTGATCAGTTAAACTCTCGCTCTATTTCATCTATGGATTAATTTTTTTTGGAATATCGTCTGCCCTTGCAAGGTTTGAAGTTGTAATGTAAATATTATTGTTCTCAGAGGTGTTATATGTGTCTAGTATGTGTTAATGTGTAGTAAATATGTCGTAGTATGTGTGAGATAACACCAGCAGTGTGTGATAACTGATATATATTATAACAAGTGTGTTAGAACCGGTGGTGCTCACATTGTCTTGATGCTGCAATATATTAACACTTGAGGTGTCAGCTTAGTGGCCAGCTTTAACTTTATCTTTATGGCAGCTGTCAACATCATAAGGGAAAATTAGCCCGTTTTTTCCAGGAGTTTTGAGTGTATATTTTCCCTAAAATCTCAAGGACCCCAATGGAAATAAACCACTTGACTTTTTTGGGTTATCCTGGGTAATTTAAACTATGTATGATAATTATACTTATGTGTACCTGTACCTAAATAATATTACTTATTCTGCCTGTTAAGCTTCTTTCAAAATATGGTTTATAATATTTTTCGAATAAAATCAAAATTTACATTATTACTACTAGTAATAATGTAAACTGAGTTATTTACATTAACTTTAAGGAGAGGATCAGATCACAGAAATAGCTACATAAATGTTATAGTAATTACATGAATATTATACTGTAGTAATAGGTACACATATGTACCAATTACTATGTAGTTAAATGGTTCAGAGAATTGACAGGTTGATAAATTAGACATGTGCAACACTTGGGTATTGTTATTGAGCAAACCAGGTAAACTCCAGGTAAACTCCAGGTAAATTCCAGGTAAACTCCAGGTAAACCTATTACTATAACATTTTCAAAATTTTTTATTTATTATTTTTGCTTTCATTTTTTTAGGCTTAGCACATTTAGTTAATGATAGTGTAAACATGTTTTTAGGTTCTTTTGTGTACTAGCAAGTGAAAAAAGGCTTTGATTAGCTTTAAGGCGATATTCGCTTTACGGTGACAGTCTGGAAGCTAACCCGCTGTATTAATTAAGTATGCCTGTATTTATATTGTGTTAGTTTGTCACGTGTTGGTCACTGGTGGATGTGTACTGAACATGTTCAATGGTTGAAGCACAAGACCATGAACAACACCCTCCCACACACCATCTTTACACACTCATAATACATATTCTCTTATCCCTTTCTGTCTCTTGTTCAGTTTCTCATCTTCTCTTTCACCATCTTAATATGTTTATACACATTGTAGAAATATTGTTTTATTGTGAATATACTTGAATCTAATTGAATACAAGTTAGGGATCTACAATTTATATTGACTTTCTGGTCTGTAAAATTATGTGAATGAATACAAATTTCTTATACACACTACATGATGACTTCATATGATGAAATGTGTGAAGAAATGTCTCTATGCACATGCTTCCCCCTTTATTCACCTCTTTATTTATCAGTACCAGACACTATCAGGCCTTGATCCACCATGAGGCCTGGTCACAGACCGGGCCGCAGGGTCGTTGACCCACGGAACTCTCTCCAGGTAAATTCCACATAAACTATATGACCTCTTTCCCACAACTATAATAAACACTTACTGTAGTAAACTGATACATAAGGGTTTCAATATATCTGTGTTATGGTATAAACCTTGGTAATAAATACTGACAAGTTGGTTTAGAAAGTCATGTAAGAAAACACTTTGACATATTTATTAGAATAAATATGTCATAGTGTTTGCTTACGTGTCTTTCTAAACATATCTGTGTTATGTAATTCTGAACACTACTCACATTCCAAATTAAAGGAGGAGTGTTAAAGAAATATTATATTAAATTTACCCATCCTCTACTAATGTTTAAGGAAGAAATAAAATCCTTACATACATGCAGCTTGAATTAAAAAAAAAAGCCTAACTTTAGAGCATTTAGCTCACAACTAAAAGAACCTGAGCCAGACAAACCATATGTGCAAATTTTTGAAGTATCAGCACCCCTCTGGCAAGACAGTGATGGAGTGAATGATGGTGAAAGTTTTTTTTTTTCTTTTTTTTGGGTCACCCTGCCTCGGTGGGATACAGCCAGCTGATGTTCACCTAGCAAATGTACATGTATGTTAGTGGCTTTCTTTGTACTTAACAGTATTTTATTACATGTAAACTACACAGAGAAAGTTATTCATTTTTACAAGAGGAAGAGCCCAATAAAAATTAACAAAATTAGCTTTGTCAGATTACCATTGGTTAATTAAGCTTCCTGGACTAAGTAACCCTCGGGATGAGTTCTTTTAGCTTAATATCATCAATGTGTTTAATGGTGTATTCTTCTTTGCAGTTTAAAGCCAGGAGGCTCAGAGTTAATGGCTGGGCATCACCATGGGTGCCCCGTGTCCTCATCAGTACATCATAGACAAAAATTTCAGCACCAGACTTCTAGCTGAGAAGAGAGAGGTACTGTGTAGCTATAGTTACGTGGTGCAGATTTTTTTATTAAAACTTTATGAATACATTACATATGCACCAGTTTTTGCAAATATAAAAAATCTGGGATCCTTTCACAACTGCAGCTCTCCTCCAGGGAGGTGCCTTGATGCTGGTGAGGGGCTCTTGATGAAAGGACTTGGTCCTATCCACCATTTTTTGATTGAACCTGATTGTGTCCTATTCCCCAAGCACATTATGGTTCCTATGGGTTTAGTGCTTCCTCCTCCTAATAATATGTAATAATAATAATAATAATATTGCTACTAGACACATTTGCAAAAATCAGTGTACAGCATTTGATGGAAGAACACTAAAAAATATGGTTGCTTGATGTCGGTGAGCAGCTTTTGATCTAAGTACAGTGGTACCTTGACTTACAAGTTTAATTCATTCCATGACCAAGCTTGTAACTCAATTTGCTCGTATATCAAATAAATTTTTCTCATTGAAATTAATTGAAATGCCATTAATCCATTCCAGCCCACAAAAAATCACCCCAAGAGAGGCAGAGATAGGCTTAATTGCTTAACTTACCACAATCACTACACCCACTACTATCACTACTCCACCCACCACCCTCACTACTCCACCCACTACCATCTCTACTACACCCACTGCCCTCACTACTCCACCCACCATCATATCTACTCCACCTACCATTATCACTACTCCATCCACCAACATCACTACTCCACCCACCACTATCACTGCTCCATCCACCACCCTCGCTATGCCACCCACCACCATATCTACTCCATCCACCATTATCACTACTCCACCCACCACTGTCAGTACTCCACCCACTGAAGGAACCTCTGTGAGGCACGTAAATATCACAGAGGCTTTCCTTAATGTTTCTGGAAAAACTCGAGTGAAGAAATGGAGTTTACCTCTTCCCCGAATTTATATGGGAACCAAACAAGGGATGAGGTGCCTCGCTACAATCTGGGATTAGTGTGGGAGTATTATCCTTCCAGTTATGTCTTGGAAGAGCATGTGGGTTGGGACGAAGTACCTGACATTCCTCTGGGTACAGAGTTGGATTTGACTTCAGATATGCTGTCAACTAGTGGCAGCGTATCTGAAGCTTGCTCGTAAGTCAGATTTTGGCAAAAAATCAACCGAATGGTGGCTTGTAACTCGGAAAACTCGTAAGTCAAGGTACCACTGTATTTGAACCTGCTCTCCCCTTCCCTTACATCAAACCTACCTTACAGTAAGGCCCCCCCTCCCCCCCCCCCCCCCAAAAAAAAAAAATAATGATTGATAATAAAATAGCACTAATTTTTTTGAGTTTGGCTGATGTACACTTGTTGTCTATTATAACAGCACATTCCTTTTGGAAATTAGATAATGGGTCGTCAACCATGCTTCCAGAATGGAGGCTTAATAATCATTTGACTGTTGCTTGCCATTCATTTTTTATTAATATGAGAGGAGATAGGTGCTCCAATGATTATATGACTTTTTTTTAGGAATGGATTTGATTAAAGGGCAGTGAACTTCAGCAGAGAAAGAGTATCCTACATTAATCATTTTGAATTGTAAGCTCTGTTTACTAAAAAAAAATATGGATGAGCTTGTGAGATTTATTTTCATGATTTTTTAAATAAGGAGAAAGGCTCAGTTTTCAGTACATGTTATTTGCCACTTACTTTAAACAAATTCTAACCACACAATAGAGCAAAAAACTAATGTGAAGGAAGTGGGAGTGATAATGTCAGGGAATCTCACTTTCAAAGATCACAACAATGTCTGTACCACATTTGCTAGAAAAATGATAGGATGGATAATGAGAACCTTCAAAACTAGGGATACCAAACCATTAATGATTCTCTTCAAATCTCTTGTTGTTCTCTCTAGGCTGGAATATTGCTGTACACTAATGGCCCTTTTCAGGATAGGTGAAATTGCAGACCTGGAGACTATACGTATAACTTTCACTGCTCGTGTAAGTACAGTTAAAGCACCTAAGTTACTGAGAATGGTAAAAGTCCCTTGGAATGCAGGCAAGAAAGATGTATGATAATATACACTTGGAAAATCCTAGAGTTACTAGTCCCAAATTTCCACATGGAAAGCACTCTCTACGAAAACAAGACTTGGCAGGTGGCGCAACATTCCCCTAATGAAAAACAGAGGTTCCATGAGTACCCTAAGCGACAACACAGTAAGTGTCATGGGCCCAAGATTGTTCAACTGTCTCCCAGGATACATAAGGGGGATTACCAATAGACCCCTAGCTGTCTTCAAGAGGGAGCTGGACAGGCCAGCTGTACAAACCATAGCTGGGCTGTGGTTTGTATATTGGTTTGCATATGGCCATCAGTAACAGCTTGATTGATAAGGCCCTGATCCACCATGAAGCCTGGTCATGGACTCGGCTGCACGGGTGTTGACCCTCAAACACTCTCTAGGTATCAAACTAGACAAGCTTGGACCAGGGCTGGGCTGCGAGTGCAGGAAAACTCGAAACCCTTCAAAGTTTATATTGAATACTAGTGAACTAAGAACTACATTGATTAACATACAGTACCTGCACTCTGAAAGAGGGATGGAGATATGTTGCTCTGTTGGAACTGTAGTATTAGCATGCCTCTGGCAAGACAGTGATGGCATGAATGATTATGAAACTGTTTCTTCTTTTCCAGGTCACTCTGCCTCAGTGGGAAATAGCCAGTGTGTTAATAAAAAACCCAATGAAATGAAGATTATGTTTTGTTACTGGCATAACATGAGTACTGCATTACAGGTCACTTGTGAATGGTGTGGTGCAGCAGGTTCCAGCCTAAGATTGTGTCTGTACTCTGGGTGTCTGCGTGTTGGCTGTGCAGAAGGCCATGCTGACCACTCCACCTTCCACAATCACCAATTCCCTTCTCACTGCATCACTTTAAATTTAACTACCCTTCGATCGTGGTGCTACATGTGTGAAATGGAGGTAAGTTACCTCTGGACAAGTCATCATCCCTTGAATGTTTCTTTGTAATTGTTAATTCATCATCCGTCACTTACGTGGATCTGTAACTTCCTGACAAATAGACACAAAGAATAATAGTAAACAGAGTAAAGTCTGAGGCAGCTACAGTGAAAAACTGTGTTCCACAAGGCACAGTACTCGCTCCCATTCTATTCCTCATCCTCATATCTGACAGACAGAGATGTAAGCCGTAGCTCCGTGTCTTCCTTTGCGGATGACACCTGAATTGCTATGACAGTGACCTTCATCAAGATACCACAAGACTCCAAACAGACATTAACCAGATCTTCAAATGGGCTACTCAAAATGATATGAAGTTCAGTGAAGAGAAAGTTTCATTTACTCAGATATGGAAAACTTGAGGAAATTAAAACTGTATCAAGGTATACGACAAATTCTAACCCTACAATAGAGTGAAAAGTAATGTGAAGGACCTGGGAGTGATAATGTCAGAGGATCTCGCCTTCAAAGACCACAACAATGTATCTACCGCATCTGCTAGGAAAATGATAGAATGGATAATGAGAACCTTCAAACTTAGGAATGCCAAGCCCATGGTGATTCTCTTCAAATCGCTTGTTCTCTCTAGGCTGGAATACTGCTGTACACTAACTGCCCCTTCAAGGTAGGGAAAATTGCTGACCTGGAGAGTGTACAAAGAACTTTCACGGCACACATAAGTACGATAAGGCACCTAAATTACTGGCAGTGGTTGAAAGCCCTTGATTTGTATTCCCTGGAATCCAGGGGAGAGAGATACATGATAATATACACTTGAAAATCCTGCAGGGATTAGTACCAAACTTGTACACGAAAATCACTCCCTATGAAAGCAAAAGACTCAGCAGGAGATGCAACATTCCTCCAATGAAAAGCAGGGGCTGCCACGAGTACACTGAGAGACAACACAATAAGTGTCCGGGGCCTAAGACTGTTCAGTTGCCTCCCAGCATACATAAAGGGGATTACCAATAGACCCCTGGCTGTCTTCAAGAAGGCACTGGACAGGCACCTAAAGTCAGTATCTGACCAGCCAGGCTGTGGTTCGTACGTCAGTTTGCATACGGCCAGCAGTAACAGCCTGGTTTATCAGACCCTGATCCACTATGAGGCCTGATCTCGCACCGAGCCGCGGGGGCGTTGACCCCCAAAACCCCCTCCAGGTATACAGTATACTGTGCCCCCAGTTTAACGAATTCATACTTCAGAAATAAGGAACAGAATCTGTTAGTTCAATTGATTCGTCAACACTGGACAAAGTCTGTTGGTTGCAGTATTGTGTTATTGTTAAGATCACGACTCGGCATTGTCTTCCTTAAAAAAATTTTATTCTACAGTCTCCATTACTAGCCACCTGCTTCCTCCAATTATTCCATTAAATTGAAGGTTTACTGTATTTGTGTTGTATATAGAAGGATTTTAGTGGCTCTGGTTTAGTTGACTTTTCTTTTTAGGAGGTTGTCATATCTAAGAACTGCCAAATTATTGAAATTTTTTTTGTTTTGTGAGCACAGAAATATGTGAAAAATCAAACCATATATTGGTGTTAAGGTAGTATTGAGTAAGTCTTGTGTGATGGCAGAACATCATCAGATTGGACTACTGTTATGAAGTTTATTGTGTGCTCTTTCTTGAAGGTCACATCATCTGTCATGGCAAGTCTGAGTATACCACCAGGCCAGCAGCAACATTTGGGAGTGCCAATCAGTGCTCAGGGTGTTGCTGTTGCCCAGCCTATCACACCTAGTCAGTCTAGCGCTGAAGATGAGGATGATGATGAAGAAGAGATGAAAGCAAAAGGTTAGTTTTATCAGTTATTATAGTGTGTTCTCTCATGCTCTGTCATAGGGCAAGCCAACTTCCCATTTAGTTTTCCTGCCACTTTTTCTTTCCATAGACCTGCAAACACAAAGAATTCTTCTCCTGTGTTTCTAAATCTTGCACCAAAATGCAGAAAAGACAACATTGACAAGCCCTCCAGTCATCACTTTTTAATGTTCACTCTCTGTGATTCTCTAACTTATTTTACCTTTGTTTATTTTGTTTGAAACTAGATTTTACATACATTTTTTAATTCAATAGCAATTTCCTCGCAAGGCAGGAGGGCCTAAAGAAGAAGAAGAGAGATTCGCCATCATTCATCCAGTTGCCGTCTTTCCAGAAGTTTGCTGACATCACAACAACATTCCCACCCCTCCTTCAGAGTTCTGACAATCCTCTTTCCACCTCCAGGACTCAAGTCCCACTAACTGGTTTACCTGAAACCCCTCCCCCACCAACAGCATGTCCATTAAAAACCACTTATCTCCATTCACTTCTATGGCTTCTCAAGCCCCTAAAACTTTTTTTTTTTTTTTTTTTACTCCAATGACCCCTCCTCTTCCCGCCTTCCACCTCCAATTTGTACACTCTTCATCATCTTATCCCCCTCCATCCTTGCTACATGCCCAAACCACCTCAACAACCCCTCCTCAGCCTTCTGAATTATACCCTTGGTGATCCTCCATTGCCTTTTAATTTCTATGCTCCAGTTTTTTTAACACATTGACTGTCTCTCACCAATGCAGGGTGATTTTCAAAAAAAAAAAAAAAACGAAAGTTTTTTTCACTTAAAGTAATTTATACAGGAGAAGGAGTTACTAAACCCTTGCTTCCGGCATTTTTGTCGCTCTACTCTGCAGTGCAGCTCTCCTTACTTAGTGATGTACTCGTTTACTGACGACTTAGACTTACTACAGGCTCTCTGACCAGTATGCATACCTAAATAATGTATATTAGAGCTGATTTCCTCTATTCTGTGTATTACAATATACAGTAAACTACTGTATAAACATTTAAAAATATACCAGAAATGTTATTAATGGTACAAAGGTGACATTCAAACAGTATCATAGTTGGTGACACAAACCCACTACCATTATAGTATGCTCCTTGCTTAGCAACGAATTCATTTACCGATGTGGTATTAGGAACAGAACTCCATCGTTAAGCGAGGAGAGGCTGTAGTTGCTCTTTAATAGCTCCAGAATGTTGACAGTTCTGTATTGATGAAACGTGAATAAATGGATGCAACTTTTTTTTACAGGATTGGTTGGACTGCGCAACCTTGGACTGACCTGCTACATGAACTCTGCTCTCCAGGCAATGAGTAACTCAGTGCCTCTAGCTCAGTTTATGATCGAGTGCCCGGCATTCTTGCGCAATGATAGAAAATCACCCGGGCTCTCCCGACCTTTTCAGAGATTGATGGTTGAAATGTGGCATAAAAAAAGACCAAGTTTTGTCACTCCCTCTCTGCTCTATCATGGATTCAAACAGGTGAATTTTTTTTTTCAATGCACCAGCGCATTCCCACTGAGGCAGGTGACCCAAAAAAAAGAAAATCTCCAAAAAGAAAATACTTTCATCATTCAACACTTTCACCACACTCACACATAATCACTGTTTTTGCAGAGGTGCTCAGAATACAACAGTTTAGAAGCATATATGTAATAAAGATACACAACATATCCCTCCAAATGCCAATATCCCAAACCCCTCCTTTAAAGTGCAGGCATTGTACTTCCCATTTCAAGGACTCAAGTCCGGCTATATAAAAATAACCAGTTTCCCTGAATCCTTTCACTAAATATTACCCTGCTCACACTCCAACAGCTCGTCAGGTCCCAAATACCATTCGTCTCCATTCACTCCTAACGCTCATGCATGCTTGCTGGAAGTCCAAGCCCCTCACCCACAAAGCCTCCTTTACCCCCTTCCTCCAACCTTTTCGAGGACGACCCCTACCCTGCTTTCCTTCCCCTACAGATTTATACGCTCTCCATGTCATTCTACTTCGATCCATTCTCTCTAAATGACCAAACCACCTCAACAACCCCTCTTCAGCCCTCTGACTAATACTTTTATTAACTCCACACCTTCTCCTAATTTCCACACTCCGAATTTTCTGCATAATATTTACACCACACATTGCCCTTAGACAGAACATCTCCACTGCCTCCAACCGCCTCCTCGCTGCAGCATTTACAACCCAAGCTTCACACCCACATAAGAGTGTTGGTACCACTATACTTTCACACATTCCCTTCTTTGCCTCCATAGATAACGTTTTTTTGTCTCCACATATACCTTAACGCACCACTCGCCTTTTTTCCTTCATCAGTTCTATGATTAACCTCATCCTTCATAAATCCATCCGCTGATACGTCAACTCCCAAATATCTGAAAACATTCACTTCTTCCATACTTCTCCACCCCAATTTATATCCAATTTTTCTTTTTACTTGTAGTATTTTATACAAGAGAAGGGGTGAATGTTTTTTTATACACTTTATTCCCTGCCATTGTATGGAAATGCTTTTTTTCACTTTGTTTTGATTGCTGTTTTGGTTGGGTTGGAGAAGGGGAAGATGGAAGTGGGAGCAGTTGTATCAATATTTACACACAGCCTTAGTTGCTGCAGTTATTGTTTAGCTTGGTGGCAGATGTTGCTGTGAGTGTGGTTGGTGAGGGGACCGAAGGAATCAACTAACAAGAATATGAATAAATAGAAGGGTGGACGAGGGACTCCAACTGCAGTCCATAAATTGAAAGTCCGACACTCTACCGTCTAGAATGTCGGACTGTCAATTTGTGGACCACAGTTTGAGCCCCTCGTCCATCCTTCTGTTTATCATCAACAGTTGTTTATTACAGCTTAGTTTGAGTTCAGACAAAAATATACTTAAACAGGGGTTGTTTTATTAAAAGACTAACAAATAAGCAGCACTGAGTGAAAGCTTATAACTGTTAGTTAACAATAGTCCAGGATGGACTGAAATGTCTTCATAAGTTGCTTAAGTGCAGCTTATTTATAAATTGTTCCGACTATGGTATTGTGACTTTTTTGTTCATTATGAAAAAGATGCTAATATCTCGAGTTTTCACTGATTATTAGACACAGTGTTTTCAGTGATTCTGAAATAAACCATACACAGGTGAAGATTGAACTTGTGGCCACGATTGTGATACATTGTTGTTTCTATTATTCATGAAGTAAGTTATTACATTCCATAAAGGCTCTGGCAGCAACTAAAAGTGTTCACCTGACAGCTAACGTTGGCAGAATTGTGTAAATATAAAACATGTCAGGTTTTATTTACAACTGTGGTTATGTTATTAGAATTTTCTTTCCTTGTTGCAGTTATACCCAATGTTTCGAGGGTATACACAGCAGGATTCTCAGGAGTTTCTTCGATATTTTATGGATCAACTTCATGAGGAACTAAGGGAGCCTCAGATAATTTCACACGAAGACGAGGAAAGGGAAATCGAAGGTAAGTTTGCATGGTCTCTTGATTTACTACTCAGGTTATTGAATGGGAAAGTTACCATTACCTTGGAAATACATGTAGTTATTAATGTGACACAAAAAATAAAATTTTGAAGATAATTCTCAGAAGTGTTTTTTGGAGTTATTATAGAATGATGAATTTTTATCTTAATATGTAAATTATGAGGTGCTTTAGGGAGGAATACAGCTTTATTAATAATTCTGAAACTGGGATTAATGTTTCACATAGAGCCAGGGAGAAATAACTAGTACTCTGGAATAGTTAATATTTAGCTACATTTACCTGTTGGTCATAAGTGAGAGGTATGGGAGGAAGTGTAAAATATACTCAGTGAAAAACAGGGGTGCCAATAGGTACAACAAGAATCACTGTCAGTATCTGTGGTCCACAACTGTTCAACCTGCTGTCAGAAATATTGTATGAACATATGTAGAAGTGTTCAAGACGAAACTTGATCACTGCCTCCACCAAGTATTGCATCGACCAGGCTGTGACGACTGTGTGAGCCTGCAGGTTGCTGACAGCAACAGCCTAGTTAAACAGGTAATCGGCAGAAAAGCCTGACCCCCAGGTCAGGCTGCAAGAATATAAAAACTAAAAATCAGTCACAGGTAAACATCACAACTCTAGTGATCTTGTTCAACTATAATAATCTTATCTTTTGGAGATGTGGTAGGTAGGCTGTTTTATAGGTTTATTACTCTCTTGGATATGAAGAATATCCTGGGGTGGGTCATGTGCTGCTGATTACTGGGATTAAAATGGTTACTTCTTGTATGTGTCCCATTAGACTTCATGAAGAAGAGGTCTGGGTTTATATTATCCAACTTGTGTAGTATCCTCATTTCTCAGAAATCACTCTGTCTGATTTAATGCAGTGGTGCAAAAGGTTTTTATGCATATGTATATGACAAGCAGAATTGGTCTCAGAATGTATCCTTGATGTAATCCATTCAAAACATTATTCCAGTTTCATTCTGCTTTATTTATAAATATTTTCCCTGTGTTTGAGCTAATGTTATATCCATTCAATAAGTTTTCAAAAAATTATCCAATGAGCTTGGATATTCTGGACAGTCTTTCATCCTTGGATATTCAGGACAGTCTTTCATCTGGTACTTTGATAATCATGTTTGAAAAATTTATATATGACACATCACCTGGAAAGCCTCATCTTGTGTAGTTGGATAAGGCTTTCCAGGTGATATTGGGATGTTTTAATTAAGTTGTTTAATTAAATTTGGATGTTTTAATTAGAACATTTACTAAGAGAAAGTTCATGATTGTGTGAAGGTTTTAGTAAAATTTGTGTATTTCTCTGTAAGTCATTTTCAGTTATACAGCATAATTATGGACAGTTAAGTGAGAGATGTTGATAGGATTCATAATAAAAAAGAGAGATTTAATAAAAAAAAAAGAAATTTTTCATTTCATCAAATAAATTAAAGGTATATTTTAGGTACATTCATGAATAAACCAGAATTGAGGTCAGTGCTGAATGTTTTTTTTTTTTTACAATGGTGTTTTTCAAATTAATATTGTTAATTCCTGAATCCATTTGCAGACGAGGAAGATATATCATCAGGCAGCCTCTCAGAGCACGAGGAATCTCAGTCTGAAGCTGAATATGAGACTTGCGATTCAGGGGTATCAGAGCAGTCTTCAGGGTCCTCAGATCACCATCCCAGCAAGAGAAAGAAGCGTCAGCATGTGGGGGTGGACGTAGAAAGTGGAATGACACTAAGAAGCAGCAATCGGTAATCTTTCTTTCTACACACCGGCTATATCCCACCTAGGTGGGGTGTCCCAGAAGGAAAAACGAAGGTTTCTCCTTTTACATTTAGTAATGTATACAAGAGAAGGGGTTACCAGCCCCTTGCTCCCGGCATTTTAGTCACCTCTTACGACACACATGGCTTACGGAGGAAGAATTCTGTTCCACTTCCCCATGGAAATAAGAGGAAATAAACAAACAAGAACTAGTAAGAAAATAGAAGAAAACCCAGAGGGATGTGTATATATATAATATGCTTGAGCATGCGTGTGTAGTGTGACCTAAGTGTAAGTAGAAGTAGTAAGACGTACCCGAAATCTTGCATGTTTATGAGACAGAAAAAAAAAAGACACCAGCAATCCTACCATCATGTAAAGCAATTGCAGGCGTCAATCGGTAATACTTTGCGTTATTTGTCTTCTTGCTTTTGCGTCCCCATTTATTTTTTCTGTAATCTTATTCTTAGGATAGCATTATAGTATTCTCTGCTGTCATAACCCTAACATAATATTTATTAGTTCAACTGAAATGTTTTGTATACTAGTGACTTCCTTTTGTGCCTACTAATGTTTTTTTTAAATGTAAACTACATTATTTTTGTACCACGAAAAGAAATGAAAATTTGAATTTGAATTTGTCTTATTTTAACATTTTTTGTCTAAATTTTTGGGGGGAAATAAGTTAAGAAAAATACTGGAGAAGAAAAAGAACAAAAAGGCACAATACTTCTACTAGTCTTCTTCTCACCATTCCTCTTCTATTGCTTCTGCCTATAATTTTGCCTCCCTTCACTTCCCCTTTTTTCTTTCTTTTGCCACTAAACTACTCTCCCTACTTTCCACTACCACTATTTCTTCTACTATTACCTCCACTACTTACCTACCACAACCACTACTTCCTCTCTTGTTCCTGTCCTTTTTCCCACTCGCCTATATAAACTGACTTTCTCGCTCTCTTCTGTCAGTGTGACTTTGTAAACGGTCCAAGTCAGACCAAAACGCCATCGTAAGCTCCTCCTCCTCTCCTATGTGTGGGCAATATGTGTACTAGAGTACAGTGTTGTAGACTCTGATTAAAATTATCATTAGAGGCTGAGGGAGGGAGTGAGTAGAGGAGGTTTTTAAGTGCTAGGGGCATTGACATTCAACAGGCTTGTATGAGCATGTTAAATCAGAGTGAGTGAAGGCATATGGTTGATGTGCTGTTGGAGTGTGGGCAAGGTAACATTTATGAAGGGATTCAGGAAAACCTGTTCTGTACTCTATTGGAAGGGTGAGAATATTAGTTTGGAAGACCCTCCGAACTGTAATGTCAGCACACTTCTGGCAAGATGATGAATGGTGTTTCTTCTTTTTTGGGGGAGAAAGGCTGATAAGTTAAAAGAATTAATAAAACCGAAAGTTTTTGAGACTGGGAAGTAAGAAAGAGTTTATGTATAATATACTTATTGTGATACAAGCATTGTGATGTTCTTATCTCTCCTTTAACAGGAGTCTTCTTTTGGCTGATCACGAGACCAGTGAATTCTCGGATGCTGTGTCAGACACCACTCTTCTTGACTCAGACTCAGCTGGTGGCATATCTTCTTCTGCTTCTCCTCAAGTTCATTCCTCCTTCACTAGTGGTCTTGGCTCTAGTAAGCCATCTATAGCATCAATCACATCATCCTTCAGAGGTCTGTACAGTTGTTGTCTGTTGACTCACAAAATCATAATAACATGATTGCAAACAAACAATGGAATGGGTGGGGATTGAACCTTGGAGTTTTAGGGCTCGTTCTCCATGGGTTCAGTCCCCACCTGTTCCATGGTTTGTTTTCTATTGATATTGCAGTTATTTAGACATGAAATTTTCTCAAGGAAATGTTATTCATAGTTCAAAATAGTTAATATTAAATTAAAATTCCAAATTTTAAAGGAAATATTAGTGTTTTATGAAAATAAATATGCTGTAGTTACACTTAAGCTCAGGTTCATGTTATTTATTTTCATTTTTCTTTGAGGAATATATTGTACAGTGTATCTTGCTTCTCATTTTTTAATATTACAGACCTGACTTGCAGATGTAAAATTAAAACAAGCTAGAAAGTTGAGAGTGAACATAGATAAGAGTAAGGTGATGAGGATATCAAATGATTTAGATAAAGAAAAATTGGATATCACATTGGAGAGAGGGAGTATGGAAGAATTGAATGTTTTCAGATATTTGGGAGTTGACTTGTCAGCAGATGGGTTTGTGAAGGATGAGGTTAACCATAGAATTGATGAAGGAAAAATGGTGAGTGGTGCAGTGAAGTATCTGTGGAGACAAAAAATGTTATCCATGGAGGCAAAGAAGGGAATGTATGAAAGTATAGTGGTATCAACACTCTTATATGGGTGTGAAGTTTGGGTAGCAAATGCTGCAGCGAGGAAGCGGCTGGAGGCAGTGAAGATGTCCTGTCTAAGGGCAATGTGTAGTGTAAATATTATGCAGAGAATTTGGAGTGTGGAAATTAGGAGGTGGTGTCGAGTTACTAAAAGTATTAATCAGAGGGCTGAAGAGGGATTGTTGAAGTGATTTGGTCATTTATAGAGGATGGATCAAAGTAGACTGACTTGGAGAGCATATAAATCTGTAGGGGAAGGAAGATGTGGTAGGGGTCATCCTTGAAAAGGTTGGAGGGAGAGGGTAAAGGAGGTTTTGTGGGCAAGGGGCTTGGACTTCCAGCAAGCACATATAAGCACGATAAGGCACCTAAATTACTGGGAATGGTTGAAGGTCCTTGATCTGTATTCCCTGGAATGCAGGCAAGAGAGATACACGATAATATACACTTGGAAGGTCCTGGAGGAATTGGTATCAAACCTGCACACAAAAATCACTCCCTATGAAAGCAAAAGACCCGGCAGGAGATGCAACATTCCCCCAGTGAAAAGCAGGGGTGAAACGAGTACATTGAGAGACAACATAGTAAGTGTCTGGGGTCCAAGACTGTTCAACTGCCTCCCAGCCTACATAAGGGGGGATTACCAGTAGACCCCTGGCTGTCTTTAAGAAGGCACTGGAAAGGCACCTAAAGTCAGTACCTGACCAACCGGGCTGTGGTTCGTATGTCAGCTTGCGTACAGCCAGTAGTAACAGCCTGGTTGATCAGACCCTGATCCCCCATGAGGCCTGGTCTCAGACCGAGGAATGGGGCCATTGACCCCCAAAACCCTCTTCAGGCAAACTCCAGGTAAGCATGTGTGAGCGTGTTAGATAGGAGTGAATGGAGACAAATGGTTTTTGGGACCTGACAAGCTGTTGGAGTGTGAGCAGGATAATATTTAGTGAAGGGATTCAGGGAAACCGGTTATTTTTATATAGCTGGACTTAAGTGCTGGAAATGGGAAGTACAATTCCTGCACTTTAAAGGAGGGGTTTGGGATATTGGCAGTTTGGAGGGATATGTTATATATCTTTATATATGCTTCTAAACTGTTGTATTTGGGTGCCTCTGCAGAGACAGTGATTATGTGTGAGTGAGGCGATAGTGTTGAATGATGATGAAAGTACAGTATTTTCTTTTTGGGAATTTTTTTCTTTTTGGGTCACCCTGCCTCGGTGGGAGACAGTCGACTTGTTGAAAAAAAAAAAATAAAGCGAAGTTAAGTTTAATCACATCAAATTTCTTTACTAGATATTTCCAAACTGGCTGGCAATCCTAAGCACGTTATTGTGAAGAATCTTAAATTCACTTATTTTCTGTTGGCAGCTACAACATCACCTTGCCCAGGCAAAGCATCATCAAGTACTGCGAACAATCCCAGCCGAAGAAGAAAACCTCCTTCATACCGCAGCGTCATCTCTGATATCTTTGATGGAACCATTGTCAGCTCAGTTCAGTGCTTGACCTGTAATACAATATCCTCCAGAAAGGAAACATTCCAGGACCTAAGTCTACCTATCCCCAGCAGTGACCAACTTAGCATTCTGCAGCACTCCTCTGTTACACAGTTGCAACAAGTGGGTGGAACCAACACCAGTAGCCTTCACCTGGCCAAGGCCTCATGTGATGCAACCACAGATGGGTTAGTTCTCACATTTTGTACATTAGTTGAGATAGGCTGCTGTATTAGTTGAAAGCAGACAGACTAGTACATACCAGATTTGCACTGAGCCATCAACTAATCTCTACTGCTTTACTTTACGTTTACTTCATCTTTTTTTCTTTTGGCCAAATCATTTTTACAGTACTCTAATTCTTGTTGTAAATTACCAAATAATGGTGTTTATACATTCATAAAAGGATTCAGGGAAATCATTTAACTGGACTTGAGTTTTGTAGTTAAGTAAAGATATTTCAGTGGATAATGTGTGTATTCCTCTAGGATAAGCAAGAGCAAGTGATCTGGTGAATGTGTTATTGTCTTTAGGTTGCCATACTTTGGTGAGAGAGAGAGAGAGAGAGAGAGTTGATGTGGTGAAAAGAAAACATCATTATTCAGGTCACCCTGCCTTGGAGGGAAATGGCTAGTGTGTTGAAAAAAAAATATGTTCAGAGCACATGAATGGTTATTAAAGGTTAGTGTAGCTCAAATTAGCATAATTATGAATTGTTTATTTCATTCACAAAGGATAAATTTTCATTCATCTGAATTCTTCTCTGCAAATTTATGGGAGGTAGTCTAAACATTCTTAAATTTAACCTATATTGCCCTCACAGAAACTTTGGCTCAGTACACAAATTACCCACACATACGAGAAAGAAACTTATGACCGGGTTTCAGTCCGACTTGGACCATTAAGTAATATATGACTAGTTTATAGATCAAATCAGACCAATACATCATAAGTTTCTTTCTCCTATGTATGAGTTATTTGTTTATTGTTCCAGTCATAGTATTGTTCTTTTGGTTATATGTTTAACCTTGCTGTCAGATGGATGTGGTGGATCTGGGTGTGGCTGCGGTCATGGCTTTGGGGTCCAGCTGTTTCCCTCCATCATTGTCTTGCAGCCTTCTTCAGTGCTGATGAACTTAAAGGAGACAACATGTATTCCTGTGAGAAGTGTGGTAAACTACGCAATGGAGTTAAATTTTCAAAAGTTTTACAATTACCCGAGGTGCTTATTATCCACCTTAAGAGGTTCCGGCATGAAACGATGTTCAGTTCAAAAATTAGCCAGTATGTGTCATTCCCACTTCATGGCTTAGATCTTACACAATTCCTGCATAAAGGTGAGTATATGTTGAAAATTCATAATCACTAGAGTGACTGGGATTCTAACCTATAGTCTAGGATTACCAGTCTGTGTTGCAGTGGATCAAGGCAGTGAGATGCTAACCTTAGACTGCAGTTGCAAATCCCCATCACTCAGTGAATGTGTACATAAAATAAATGCATGTTCCATTTTCCTTTCATGGTAGACTATGACATTGTTATCATTTTCCTCAAACATAACCACAAATTTATTTATCTTTAGTTTTTTAGTCATTTTTATATTATACTTCAGATTGTGGCTCTGAGGTTGTAACATATGATCTGTATGCTATCATATGTCACCATGGTACTGCAGGAGGTGGCCATTACACCTCTTATTGTCAGAACTGGAGCAATCATCGCTGGTATGAGTTTGATGACCAGTATGTTACTGAAGTCTCCCCAGAAACTGTGACCAAGTGTGAAGCATATGTTTTATTCTACAAAAAGACAAGTACAGAGATGACATCACGACGCCAGAGGACAGTTGAACTTATGCAGGTATACCTTGCTAATATATTTTTGTTAATTTAATTCAGATCTATTACCAGTGGTTTGATCAAGCTTCATAAAAAGTAGTTTTGATTTTAATAAGACTATTGGTTTAGGGTTATACAAATTAGATTCTTTCTTTCTTTCAACACACCGGCCGTATCCCACCGAGGCGAGGTGGCCCAAAAGGAAAAACGAAAGCTTCTCCTTTTACATTTAGTAATATATACAGGAGAAGGGGTTACTAGCCCCCTTGCTCCTGGCATTTTAGTCGCCTCTTACAACACGCATGGCTTTTGGAGGAAGAATTCTGTTCCACTTCCCCATGGAGGTAAGAGGAAATAAACAAGAACAAGAACTAGTAAGAAAATAGAAGAAAACCCAGAGGGGTGTGTATATATATGCTTGTACATGTATGTGTAGTGTGACCTAAGTGTAAGTAGAAGTAGCAAGACGTACCTGAAACCTTGCATGTTTATGAGACAAAAATGGACACCAGCAATCCTACTATCATATAAAACAATTACAAGCTTTCGTTTTACATTCACTTGGCAGGACGGTAGTACCTCCCTAGGCGGTTGCTGTCTACCAACCTACTACCTAGAACAAATTAGATTCATTTATAATTAATAAAATTTGGGAAGAATTTAAGCCATGTTAGACAAGTCCTCGACCATCCCACCTGCATCGTAATGGGACCAGTGTAATGTCACGTGTGAGGTGATATCTCAGCCTTATAAGTCTTATGCTGTTTTATTATTTTTACAGGTCCTTGATATTGTGAGAAATCACAAAAGCATTCGGAATTTCACTATTTTTTCTCAGTGGTTGTCTTGCATATTGCAATATCACCATTTTACTGTGATCTTATTGCATCATGTATAAATAATGAAGCATGATTTGTTGGGAAACTGGGAGCATAAATCTGGGGTGGATAGACAGACATGTACGAGGTGTAAGGAAAAGTTGGAGTATTAGTGTGAAGGAAAAGTTGAGAAATGAGTGCTGAGACATGCAACAGTAGAGATCAAGTGAATAGTCTGTAGGATTTTAAATGTTGTTAGTATGTGAGCATGGTAATTAATGTATTTGTCAGGACTCTGGAAAACCAGCTAGCCAGACTTGAGTTTTGGAAACTTCCCTCTGAAAGTGTTGGAAAACTTGGGTTTTAATGGGTCAGCAGGGGACGATAACATCAATGCCATTCTGGGAAGACAGGTAGAAAGTAAATGTGTAAGATTTTTACTTTAGGTTATAGCACCTTGGTAAGAAACAGCTGATTAAAAATTGTATGTGTATGATCAGCAAAAGCATTAATAATTACAGGAGCTTGGCTACCTGTTTCAGGTTCAGTTCATGTGACTAACAGCCAGCTTGCCCATGGCTTATGTGATCAGCAAGTAAAATGTGTTCACTTGCAGTTAATCAGGTGAGGGCCAGACCTCCATCACTACTTTCAAACAATAACATAAGAAATATACCTAGTTGGAGGATTCTTATTAGAACCAGTTGGTCGAGTGGTTAACACACTGGCATGTGAATTTTAGAACTCACTGGCCATGGGTTCAAGCCCCGCCCATTCCCTGGTTTGTTTGCTATCGTGTTTTGATTTTGTGAGTCAGGAGTAACACAAATGGTTCAGCGCTTCACATTAATAAAATACATGGGGATATAGCCCACCAAAAGAGGATGACTTGGAGGGTGTATAAATCTGTAGTGGAGGGAAGGAGGGGTAGGGGTCATCCTAGGAAAGGTTGGAAGGAGTGGGTAAAAGAGGTTTTGGGGTGTGGACATAGCAGGCATGTGTGAGTGCAATAGATAGGAGTGGAAACAAATGGTTTTTGGGACTTGATGAGCTGTTGGAGTATCAGCAGGGTAATATTTTGTGAAGGGATTCAGGGAAACCAGTTAGCCTGACTTGAGTCCTGGAGGTGGGAAGTACAATGCCTGCATTTTAAAGGAGGGGTTTGGGATATTGGCTGTTTGGAGTCACATTTGAACTGTCATGTCTGCATGCCTCTGCAAAGACAGTGATTATATGAGTGATGGTGAAAGTGTTTCTTTCTTTTTTTGAGTCACCCTGCCTAGTTGGGAGATGGCCAGCATGTTGAAACAAAAAAATAGCCCACCAGAGGCAAGTACTCTTTATTTTATTTCGGTTAATCTTTAATTTTCACTATGATATTGACCAGTGACTGAAAAAGCACAGTAGATTAGAAATATCATATACATACTGAAAAATCTTAAGTTTTTAAAGATAACTTCTTTGATTTTTTCAACATCTTATAGTTTTTAAGCCCCCTTTGCCAGATTGAAATTTTCCCCAGAATGAAATCCTGGCTGTGCTACTGGATCTCACTTACTATGACTTGAAAATGAAAACTGGATCGTTACCAAGTTACTGGTGGCTTGTTAGTGGTCCAGGGTTAACCAAAATGTAGTTTTTGTTAACAATTTATGGGTTATTTATGAATTGTTTCAGTTATGGTATTGTGACTTATTTACCCCTTTTTTTCTAGTTAATTTATCCTATTTCTTTTATTACAACTCCATTTATCAACTTTAAAGACCTGCTGAGTCTTTTTTTTTTTTTTCATTTTATCAGCCTTTTTCCATAAAAGCCTGAAAGGCTGGAATTGAATGATAATGGTTTGATTCAAATCTTGATAGTATCTCATCTCTCCACAGGTGTCTTCACGGGAACCTTCACTCATGCATTTCTACATATCTAAACAGTGGGTCAATAAGTTTAACACTTTCTCTGAACCTGGACCCATTGATAACTATGACTTCTTATGCCCACATGGAGGGGTACAACCACAAAAGGTATGAAATGTGTATATGTGTGTGTGTGTGTTTGTGTGTGTGCATGTGTGTTTCAGTGCTTGTGAATTCATTCTTTCTTTCTTTCAGCACACCGGCCGTATCTCACCAAGGCAGGGTGGGATACGGAGAGAACAGGAAATAAACAAGAACAAGAACTAGTAAGAAAATAGAAGAAAACCCAGAGGGGTGTGTACATATATATATGCTTGTACATGTATGTGTAGCATGACCTAAGTGTAAGAAGAGGTAACGAGACGTACCTGAAATCTTGCATGTTTACGAGACAGAAAAATGGACACCAGCAATCCTACCATCATGTAAAACAATTACAGGCTTTCGTTTTACACTCACGGCAGGACGGTAGTACCTCCCTGGGCGGTTGCTGTCTACCAACCTACTACCTAGGGTGTTTGTGAATATCCTTAAGAAAAACTTGAGAATCATTGATGGTGAAGAATTTGGAATTCATGAATTTTTAAAGATTCCTGTATTTATTTCTTGAAATGATTTTCTTTCTTCTTTCAACATACCAGCCGTATCCCACCGAGGCAGGGTGGCTCAAAAGAAAAAACTAAAGTTTCTCTTTTTAAATTTAGTAATATATACAGGAGAAGGGGTTACTAGCCCCTTGCTCCCGGCATTTTAGTCGCCTCTTACAACACGCATGGCTTACGGAGGAAGAATTCTGTTCCACTTCCCCATGGAGGTAAGAGGAAATAAACAAGAACAAGAACTAGAAAGAAAATAGAAGAAAACCCAGAGGGGTGTGTGTGTGTATATATATGCTTGTACATGTATGTGAGTGTGACCTAAATTGCAAGTAGAAGTAGCAAGACATACCTGAATCTTGCATGTTTGATGACAGACAAAAAGTCACCAACAATCCTACCATCATGTAAAACAATTACAGGCTTCGTTTTACACTCACGGCAGGACGGTAGTACCTCCCTGGGCGGTTGCTGTCTACCAACCTACTACCTAGGGTGTTTGTGAATATCCTTAAGAAAAACTTGAGAATCATTGATGGTGAAGAATTTAGAATTCATGAATTTTTAAAGATTCCTGTATTTATTTCTTGAAATGATTTTATAATCATATTACATTCTAGACCCTCATGGGTCTTAGCACTGCAGCATTACCACAATATTTGTCACTTTCCACTTAGCTGTGTTTAATGCAATAAGTTAGTAATTTGTGTGTGGTTTAATCAATTATGATAATTTAATATTTTAATTGTTTCCTTTCTAGGCAAGTTATGTGGGAGAGTTGGTGATGCTTCTCAGTCAAGGTGTTTGGGAATACTTGCACCAGGTGTTTGGTGGTGGTCCCGCCTGTACAAGACTGTATCGATGTGTTACTTGTCGGGCAGAGCTCGATGCTCTCTCGCATCGTCAGAATAGTGAGCTGGAGATGTTCTTCAAGCTGAAAAAGATGTTCCAAGAGGAAGAACACCCCAACATTGTAGCAATATCCATGAGGTGGTTCCGAACGTGGGAGAGCTTTGTGCGAGGACGTGAGCAAGAACCACCAGGCCCCATTGATAATTCTTCGATATGTACAAGTAAAACTGGCCAGCCTATGCTCAAACCAGGGTCAGATTATGCCCAAATCTCTGAAGAGATGTGGGACTTCTTCCACGAAACATATGGAGGTGGCCCAGAGTTGTCTGTCATGTATGGTAACCCACATGGTCCAGCCAGACGGTCCGAGCGAGCAGAGGGAGCACGGACTGACACTCACAAGTCTGAACCACTTCAGCCAGGCTCCCGATCACAAAGTACAGACAATCTTCCATACAGTGGTGCTGGTGCAAATCGACAAAGAACTGTTTCTGCTGGTGAGGTGAGGACATTATCACTAGTCAGTAAAAAATGTATTAAAGAAAACACTATTTCCTATCATAGTCATGATCTTTGAAACTGATATTTAATATATATAGTATGTTCAGTACAGTTGTTCTTCTTAATTATTTAAAGTAAGTAAATATTATCGTAATTAAGCACGAAAAGATGTCCAAGAAATAGTCACTTTGAAACAAATAATGTTATTGGTAATTATCAATGGAATTGATATTTGAGATGTAATTTATTCCCACTCTTACATTCTGTTTTTTTGTAAACATTGCAAATTGCAAAATGATGTTCAATATCTTTTATAGACCCTTGCAATAAAGATTATTATTATTATTATGTTATTATTATTACAGCATCCCAAAACAAATTCACTAGCCAGACCTAAAATTTTAATATTTGATCATTAATACACTAGTAGTTTTCTATTTGATGGTCACGTATTATGTAAATGAGTCATTTATTATTATTAGGATGGTATTTTCTAATTTGTTACTGAAGTTTTAATAATAATATTAATTATTCATATTTATCTCCTTTTTGAAAGCTTTTATTTGAAATTTTAAAAGTCACTATTGCAGACTAAAATTGTATATGAGAGTTAGTTGTTTTGCATATGACCCCTGTGGGTTTAGCTGTTGGAGTGTAATATTTTGTGAGGGGATTCAGGGAAACTGGTTAGCCAGACTTGAGCCCAGAAAATGGGAAGTACAATGCCTGCACTTTAAAGGAGGGATTTTGGGATGTTGGCAGTTTGGAGGGATAATAAAAATTGTCTAAGCTGTCGTATCTAAGCTCCTCTGCAAAGACAGTGATTATGTATGAGTGATGGTGAAAGTGTTGAATGATGAAAGATTTTTCTTTCTCTTTGGGTCATCCTGCCTCGGTGGGAAATAGCCAACATGTTAAAAAAAAAATATATTAATTTTCATAGACTTCTATTATACGTGTAATTACTGTACTAAAAGATAACAGGAGAATATTTTGAATTTGAGTTGATGTAGCGTAAATGTTAAGAAAGATCTGATTGTTAGTGCTATTCAGTAAATGATTTGGATGTTCTTTCCAGATTAAAAGAGGTGGGAGAGTTTGAATGAGGAGTTAATGGGATTAGCTTAAGTGTATCTGAGGAAACAAGACGTAAAAAAAAAATTAGTGGTAATTTTCAATGAGCAAACTTCAGTAAGAAAAGATCTGTTGCAAATGTTGAAATTCAAGAATTGTGTTGAGAGTACAAGTGGGATGTTAGGAGTGGAATATAAATAAGTGACTTAGGTCACTGGAGGTGAGAGAAGAGAGAGCAAGAGTTAGATGTATATCTTTGATATAAGCAAGAGTTAGATGTATATCTTTGATATACCTTTGATGAGTTCCCAGAGTTTTAGTACTCCTGGAGACCGGCCATGGGTCAGGCTCATCTGGTGCTTGCCTGGTCAACCAGGCGGTTGCTGCTGGTGACCCACTGCTCCATATTTTCACAGCCTGCTTGATCTGGCACCTGTTAAAGATACTTGTCAAGTTTCCTGGACAATATCAACAGATAGACGAGTTAGAAACATGTTTTTGATTGAAGAAGTCTACCATGTAGGCAAAATATTTCAATAATAAAGATACCCAGCTGTAGAATATGGGTTGTACTCATCTGAGAATAAGAGGTGTTTTAGCAAACTGTAATTCTCAAGTGGGAGACACACTTGTAGAAGACATAGTAGGAAACTGGAGTGCCAGGGATAAAGAACCTTCAGTTGAATTTTATGTGAAAAGTAGTTTGGCAATAGGCAGTAAATATTGTAGAAGAGATTAAATAACTATGAGGTATGAAAAAGTGCAAAAGCAGAGCAGCCTGCTGCACTAGGCATACATTGATGGATGAAAGGCACCACATGTTTTTAAAGGAGTGACTGATATATCGGCATTCTTTAGTGGAAGCTGGAGTAATAGGAGAGTGACACACGAGAATAGTGTCATTGTGTGAAAGAAAAATTAAAGTGAATGAGCTAAAGAAGGGAGTCAGAGTTACAAGTGACTTGGGAGAAGGATGGACAAGAGTGAAAGATGGTAATGATATATGGTGTGGATTTAAGAATGCAGTGTTGGAGTGTGCAGCAGAGGTTTGTGATTATAGGTGGGTGGAAGCAGAAGTAATGAAAATGGCTGGCAGAATGATGAGATAAATAAGGGTGATAAGGGAGAAAAAAAAAGCATGATTTTTTTCATGACATCAGCCATCTCGTATCTAGGTAGGGTAACTGAAAAAAAGGAAGCCTTCACCATTACTCACACTGTCTTACCAGAAGTACACAATGTCATAATTCAAGTGGCCCTCAGAACTATAATATCCCTACCTGTCCCTCAGAGTGTAGGATCTATACCTACCACCTCCAGGACTCCAATCCAGCTTTGAGTTCTAGTGGCAGAATATATACAGCAGAGAGAGAAAGAAAGGTTACAAGACTAGAGAGAAAGATGGTACATATGAGAGCATGAGATATCTGCAAATTTTTCTCAGAATAAGAGATAATGAGAAATTGTACATGAATGGTATACAGTACCAACAAGATGAAGAATTAGACCCATGTGCAACATCTGGATATCTTTGTAATGTTTTGCCATCCAGTGACTGTATCAATACAAACTCAAGGACATATTGGGAATACTGTAGAGAAAGCCTGAGCAATAAATGCACTTGACAGATAAGAATGAAAATAGTAAAGCATTAGATGGGGAGGTAGAGGTATCAGATAAATGAATGTAAAGAATATTTCAAGGCACTGTTAATGTGGATGATGAAAGGAGATAGTGATTTTATGCATGAGGCTGGGAGAAATACTATTTGTTAGGAGGAGGCAAGAACCAGAGGAGAGTGGAAAGGTAATGGGTGGGTTGAAACTTGGAAATGTATTTTGGGTAGATGGAATTAAGATTTGAGATACTGAAAGTAGGTAGGAATGGTATTTGGGACCTGACGAGCTGTTGGAGTGTGAGCAGAGTAATATTTAGTGAAGGGATTCAGGGAAACCAGTTATTTTATATAACCGGACTTGAGTCCTGGAAATGGGAAGTACAATGCCTGCACTCTAAAGGAGGGGTCTGGGATATTGGCAGTTTGGAGGGATATACATGTATTGTGTATTTTTATATGTACAGTGGACCCCCGGTTAACGATTTTAATCCGTGCAAGAGGGCTCATCGTTATGCGAAATAATCGTTATGCGAATCAATTTTCCCCATAAGAAATAATGGAAATAAAATTAATCCGTGCAAGACGCCCAAAAGTATGAAAAAAAATTTTTTTTACCACATGAAATGTTAATTTTAATACACACAAACTGAAAAAGGCATGCACAATTACATGACACTTACTTTTATTGAAGATCTGGTGATGATTGATGGGATGGGAGGAGGGGAGAGCATTATCTTCTTACTGTTTAGAAGGGGAATCCCCTTCCATTAGGACTTGAGGTAGCAAGTCCTTTTCTGGGGTTACTTCCCTTCTTCTTTTAATGCCACTAGGACCAGCTTGAGAGTCACTGGACCTCTGTCGCACAACAAATCTGTCCATAGAGCTCTGTACCTCCCGTTCCTTCAAGACTTTCCTAAAATGGGCCATAACATTGTCATTGAAATAGTCACAAGCACGGCTTGCAACAGCTGTGTCAGGGTGATTTTCAATCAATTTAGCTTTACTCATGCAAATTATCACTGAGAAGAAGGACAAGGATTCCAAACTGAAGATGGTACATATGGAGCATGAGATATCTCAAATTTTCTCAAATAAGATAATCGAGATAATTGCACATGATGGCATACCAAGATTGGAGAAGCTTTAGGACCCATGTCAACTTGGATATTCTTAAGTTTTGCCATACCATGTACTATCAATACAAACCAAGACATATTGGAATACTGTAGGAAGCTACGCAAGTAAATGCACTTGACAGATAAGAATGAAATGGAGCATTGATGGGGAGGTGAGGTATCACGAAAATGAATGAGGATTTTAAGCGGGTTAATGGGGGAAGAAATATTTTGCAGATAGAAATAATTGTTAGGCGGAAAAATCGATGGGATGCAATCGTATATGGGGGCCTTAAACATTGGACCGCTTAGATGGACTCAAATGCGACCAATATAGAATGGTATTTATGAAGTCGTTTGTACAGGTATTTTAGGGGGTTGATGGAACTAAATCTAACTCGACTTATCCTTAATGGGAAAACAATCGTCATCTGCACCTAACATCTGGTACTTGGATTGAAAAATGTATGTTAATTGTTCCATGATACTTCTAAACTGTTGTATTCTGGGCAACTCTGCAAAAACAGTGATTATGTGTGAGAGAGGTGAAAGTGTTGAATGATGAAAGTATTTTCTTTTTGGGGATTTTCTTTCTTTTTGGGTCACCCTGCCTCGGTGGGAGACGGCCGACTTGTTGAAAAAAAAAAAATAATAATAATAATTGAACTTGGTTGTCTCCCCCTCCACAATGGATTTAGTACTCCCTCTTAATAAAATCAATTTTTTTTTAACACTGGTCAACTGTGACTAAGGTAGGGTGACCCATATAAAGAGGATATAGTACGCTCATCATGATTCATTCAGTCACTTGCCAGAAATTTGCTGACCTCAGTTTACATAACTCTCTGAACTGTAACATCCTCACCCCTCCTTCAGAACGCAAGCACTCTCATCTACAGGACAGAAGTCCAGCCTGCCGGTTTTCCCCAAATCCCTTCATAAATATTATCTTGCTCTTGCTCCAACAGCAAGTCAAACCATAAGATCTGTTACTCTTCACCCATTTCAGTTTAACACACTCACACAAGCCCTCCAACCCCTCCTGGGAGGACCCCTGAACTTCCACCCCAGATATATATAAGGGGATATATAGTACCCTCTTACTTATCCTGTTGTTCTCCATTCTCTCTAAATGCCCGAACTACCTTAACCCCTTCCCCTCTTCAGCCCTCTGAATAATACTTTTGGTAACTTCACACTCCAAATGCTCTTCATAATATCCACACCACACATTGCTCTCTGATGTGACATCTCCGCTGCCTCCACCCTCCTCCTTGCTACAACATTTAAAGCACAAGAGTCACACTAATATAAAAGTGTTGATTCTACTGTACTCTAGTGCATTCTCCTTTTAGCCTTCATAGATAAACATTTTTTTGTCACAAATGATAAACACATCACCTACCTTCCCTCCCTCTCCTCATCTATTATATGGTTCACCAAACAGACCCATTTGCTGGCATGTCCACATCCAGTTATCTAAATACATTCACTTCCTCCTTCCAGTGTGATATCCAATCTTTCGTTGCCTAGATTTTTTATCTAGATATGATTCAGGGAGTGGAGGAGGGTTGCTCCTTGAACAAGAATATGTTGACCAAGAAGAAGTTTAGTTCTGGGAAAGGTTACGAGGAGGTATAGGGTACATTCCAGGAAAGCCTGGAGGGAGTGTGTGAAGGAAAACTTGACAGGTATTAGCTTGAGCAGTCATGTAATTTTCTGAGACTGGAGTGAATGAAGACGAGAGGTTTTTGAGATTTGACACATTGGAATAAAGTAATATTTATGAAGGGAGTGAGGGAAAATTGATTAACTGGACTTCATTATGAATGGAAAATTGCAGTGCTTGCACTCAGAAGGAAGATTAGGGATATTGCAGTTTGGTAGGTTAGTGATATTGGAATATCTGTTGACCTTTGGAAAGACATCTGAGGGAATGAGTAATGACAGGTGTTTTACTAATTTTGGTCACCCTTGGAAACAGTTTTCTTAAAAACTGGAAACCAATATGTTGTAGCTATTGTTTTGAAAAAGTTTTCACTTAGATATGGATAATACTGTACTGTCATGATGAAATTTAATGCATCTGTTCCTATTCATTAAGTTGGGAATTATATATAGTAGACACAGGCTTAATATGCTGTGTACATATACTTCCTAACTCCCGAGACATATTTATTTGTGACACATGGGATATACATGGGTTATAGGGTCCCTTTAGAATTCTCACCACAAACACGCACAGTATAGAAGCCTGGTCACAGACTGGGCCGCGGGGGCATTGTTCCCCAAAACCCTCTCCACGTATACTCCAAGTATATTCAGTGTAACATGGAAATATTGATTGTAGTGTAAGGGATTAGACACAACTGATAATTGTATCGGTTCTTTATTTTCTAATTAATGGTAGCTTGTTATGGTACTGTAGTAGAGGGTCCATTGCTTATTATGGTACTGTAGTGGAGGGTTCATTGCTTGTTATGGTACTGTAGTGGAGGGTCTATTGCTTGTTATGGTACTGTAGTGGAGTGTACATTGCTTGTTATGGTACTTTAGTGGAGAGTCCATTGCTTGTTGTGGTACTGTAGTGGAGGGTCCATTGGTTATGGTACTGTAGTGGAGGGTCCATTGCATGTTATGGTACTGTAGTGGAGGGTCCATTGCTTATGATACTGTAGTGGAGGGTCCATTGCTTGTTATGGCACTGTAGTGGAGGGTTCATTGCTTGTTATGGTACTATAGTGGAGGGTCCATTGCTTGTTATGGTCCTGTAGTGGAGGGTCCATTGCTTATGATACTGTAGGGGAGGGTCCATTGCTTGTTATGGTGCTGTAGTGGAGGGTCCATTGCTTGTTATGGTACTGTAGTGGAGGGTCCATTGCTTGTTATGGTACTGTAGTGGAGGGTCCATTGCTTGTTATGGTCCTTTAGTGGAGGGTCCATTGCTTGTTATGATACTGTAGTGGAGGGTCCATTGCTTGTTATGATACTGTAGGGGAGGGTCCATTGCTTGTTATGGTTCTGTAGTGGAGGGTCCATTGCTTGTTATGGTACTGTAGTGGAGGGTCCATTGCTTGTTATGGTTCTGTAGTGGAGGGTCCATTGCTTGTTATGGTACTGTAGTGGAGGGTCCATTGCTTGTTATGGTACTGTAGTGGAGGGTCCATTGCTTATGGTTCTGTAGTGGAGGGTCCATTGCTTGTTATGGTACTGTAGTGGAGGGTCCATTGTTTGTTATGGTACTGTAGTGGAGGGTCCATTGCTTGTTATGGTCCTGTAGTGGAGGGTCCATTGCTTGTTATGATACTGTAGTGGAGGGTCCATTGCTTGTTATGGTACTGTAGTGGAGGGTCCATTGCTTGTTATGGTGCTGTAGTGGAGGCTCCATTGCTTGTTATGGTTCTGTAGTGGAGGGCCCATTGCTTGTTTTTTTTCCAACTTAGTAGTAATATTTGATTGTTTCTTGGTGTTAACATTAACTTTCATATATACATACTCCTATAACATGATGTGATATTTGCAGTACTGTGCCACTGCAAAGAACCTGTATTTGGCATTATTTTCCTTCACATCACTTGCATCCAGATAGTGCTTACTGGTCTCAGTGTCTGTGTGGAAATTAGGATATGCTGCCAGCTGCAGAGAGACTTGGCATTGCATGAAATATATGTAAAATGTTCAGCAACCACTTAGATATCAGCATGTATTGAACAGTAAGCAAGTATTAATTTTATGTAGATAATTGGTTCAGAGAATTGATGGGTTGATGAATTAAACATTTATGCAATGCTTGGGTATCTTTATTGTGGAAACGTGTTGCCAACCGGTGGCTTCCTCAGTCTAATACACAGTAGAATGGTTGAAGATCACAAGGAGTTTGAGGTAATCAGTCCCTCAGCCTACAGTCGATGTGATCAGTCCATCAATCAAGATCACTGGACTGATCACATAGACTTCATTCCTCCTCAAGAATGTTTGTCATGGGTTTTGTTCCCTATGGATACACACAATACATGTTTCAATTAGACTTGAGTATGGGAAGTGGGAAGTATGAAGTATGATGTCTACACTGAGGGATGGGTGAGGATGTTGTGGTTCAAAGGGTCATCTGAATTGTGGTGTCTGAACTGGCAAGATAGCTACTGAATGAGTTATGGTGAATGTGTTTCAATCTTTGAGTCACCTTACCTTGTTGGGAAATGGCTGTAAAAAAAATGTTCCCACTGCTGATTATGAATGTCAAATATAAACCAGTATGTAAATTAATAAATATATACTAGATAATTTGTTAGCTATGAATACTGCATACTAGCCAGTGTTTATTGCATGTAATTTGTACCAATTATACCTCTCAAAATAGATGCTGATAAGGGGCTCCTGTTCCAAGGTAATGGATATTTCTCCCCTTTCTTGGATTGACTCTTGTTTGCCTCTCATTTTCCAGGTGCTGTATGACCCCTGTGGGTTTAGTGGTTTCCAATAATAATTTGACCAAGTAATAGATGGAATTATTGTGGAAGTATTTAACACATTGCTTTGTCTCTCACTCCATGTGGTGCAGGGTGTGAGGATGACACCAACATGTTGCTCAAAGATCAGTGAAAGTGAGAGGTTGTCTAAGTCACAGTCACTCGAGGAGAAGGAAGAAGCATCAAGTGAAGATGATGATGATAATGAAACAAAGTCAGGCTGTGTGGAGGAAGCCTCAACAGGTAGTACAAATATTGGTGTAATTCAACAAACTCTGGCAGTAAAGTCCTCACTTCAACCACTAGAACAACACTCAATATGATAATAAAACAGGTTTTGCTAGTAATTTATTTTATGGGGACTTTCACTATTTCTATATACAGTTAAAAAGTAAGGTATTACAAGAATACACACTGGTATACTACAATTTTTGCATTTATTTTGTGTAAAGACATTACAGTCTCATAAAATACAAAAGTAGTGACAAGTGATGGATTACAAATAACCTAATTAAATCTTCTGTTGGTAGGATTTATTCATAATATGAACAAGATATATATTTTTTTTCTTACTGTTTATTTTTTATATCCTTTGATAATTGCATAAATCAGGGAGTACCACTACTGTATAAGTTAATACTGTAGTGGGATTTAGCACTGCTACTGATGTTGAAGTCATCATGAAATACCTCTGTTATATGAAATATTGTAGTGGGATAAACCACTATTGTACAAATGCTGTAGTGGAGTAGAGCACCCCTACTTTATAAATGTTGCAGTCAGGAGACACCACTACTATATAAATGCTGTAGTTAGGAGAGACCACTGCTACATAAAGGCTGTAATAGCAAGAGATACCACTACTGTATAAATGCTGTACAGTAGTTAGCAAGATACACTACTGTATAAATCCTGTAGTTAGCAAGAGATACCACTATTGTATAAATGCTGTAATAATAATGTAATCAGTTTAAGTTCTAAATCTGTATGGGTTATATAACACTGCAGGTAGAGATGTGTAAGGGTAGGAATGTACAAAGGTTAGGAGAGAGTGAGGGGTAGGAGTGTGTGAGAGTAGGAGTTATTGAAAATGAGGATTACTGCTTAATTTCCATTAAAATGTCAGAAAATGAGTTTGCACCAAAGGTGGGACTTTCAGGAAGAATTTCAATTAGTGTGTGATAGGGCAGCATAAACAGAAGTCCTGTAAGCCAGCTGATTGACTGGACAATCTATTAAGATGAGGACTGTCAGTGTAACAACAGTCCTCATCATGGTACTAGTTGGGTTTCCATGTGAACATAAATGTTGTAGATATAATGAAATCACATGAATTGTATAAGTGTTAGGTCATCCTTACAAGAAAGCCATGAGCTTGATAGTGTTGATCATGAAGCTGGTGTACTTGTGTTGGTGTGTTGATCATGAAGCTGGTGTACTTGCTGTTGGTGTGTTGATCATGAAACTGGTGTACTTGTTGTTGGTGTGTTGATCATGAAACTGGTGTACTTGCTGTTGGTGTGTTGATCATGAAACTGGTGTACTTGTTGTTGGTGTGTTGATCATGAAACTGGTGTACTTGTTGTTGGTGTGTTGATCATGAAGCTGGTGTACTTGTTGTTGGTGTGTTGATCATGAAACTGGTGTACTTGCTGTTGGTGTGTTGATCATGAAGCTGGTGTACTTGTTGTTGGTGCGTTCATCATGAAACTGGTGTACTTGTTGGTGTGTTGATCATGAAGCTGGTGTACTTGTGTTGGTGTGTTGATCATGAAACTGGTGTACTTGTTGTTGTGTGTTGATCATGAAGCTGGTGTACTTGTTGTTGGTGTGTTGATCATGAAACTGGTGTACTTGTTGTTGGTGTGTTGATCATGAAGCTGGATTGTGTGACAGACTGGTGTTTGTTGGTGTGTTGATCATGAAGCTGGTGTACTTGTTGTTGGTGTGTTGATCATGAAGCTGGTGTACTTGTTGTTGGTGTGTTGATCATGAAGCTGGTGTACTTGCTGTTGGTGTGTTGATCATGAAGCTGGTGTACTTGTTGTTGGTGTGTTGATCATGAAGCTGGTGTACTTGTTGTTGGTGTGTTGATCATGCAGCTGGTGTACTTGTTGGTGTGTTGATCATGAAGCTGGTGTACTTGTTGTTGGTGTGTTGATCATGAAGCTGGTGTACTTGTTGTTGGTGTGTTGATCATGAAACTGGTGTACTTGCTGTTGGTGTGTTGATCATGAAGCTGGTGTACTTGCTGTTGGTATGTTGAAAGGTTTTGGCAATTTCTTAGTCAGAAAAAGTGTTAATGGTATACATGTATTTATTAGTGTTATTTTTACTCTTGATTGTCAGGCTGTTTTTCATATGTTCATAAGAAAGTACTGTACCCGAATGAGTCATATAGCACTGTTTTGTCAAAGGCCTTTTTAATAAATTTTGCATGGTGTGTATAAAGTTAGTTATTGAATTACAATGTAGTGGTTGTCTTGCCTCTGGGAAAATTGCATCTTGGTACACACTGCCAGTGTCCTACTTATTATAAAGTTTCCAGGTTTTATATACCATTTAGTACAGTGTATAATGAAACTAAATCATCCAGTTTTACCATATGAAGTAATAGGAATTATTATTATTACAATCATAAGTATTATTACAATCATAAGTAAACACTAAACCTACTAGAAGTAATGGGAGGAAAAAATTTAAAGCAAATCTTTCAGAAAAAAATTTTTTTACTAGATCTAAAGCCTTAAGGAATGTTAGGATATTGTACTGTGTAATATATGGGTAATATTATCTTAAATCACTCTCTAACTTTTTGAAACTTTTTAAAAAGCAGAGAGTCTATTATTTGTGTTTTGCTACTTCCTATAAATGTCTATCATCATTTGTTGCCTTACAGCCATATATCCACATTCAAATTATTATTATTATAATCAAAAAGAAGCGCTAAGCCACAAGGGCTATACAGCCACATTCAAATTGATGATTTTCATTTGCTTTTGCTTTGCACATCACTCGTGTCATCCCCCTCTATTCTGCCTTCCTTTTATAATTTTTACAAAGTCAAGCTGTGCCTTTCACAAGCAAGCCTCATTCTCCTTAACACAGTTCTACTTCCTCATTTCTCATCTCTCCTGGGTTTGTGCAGAGAATAAAAAAGAATCATGCACTAGGCAGTGCATGATGAGAAAAGCAAAATTTGGACTTTGTTTGGTTTAAAATAGTGACCTTGAGGTGTTTTGTAGGTCCTAATGGTTTTATTGGCTGTTTCTTGGTATCAGTTGAAAGAATGGAAGATATACTACTGAAAGAGAGATGATTTTGGTTGGATGTAGTTTGAAATTGGACTCAGAGTAACAAATGTTAAATTTTTGCTGGTTTTCCCGAGGCCTCCCTACACCCCCTCAATTCCATTTTGAGTTTTTAATAAGTCTGACTCAATTATTGAGATACCATAAACCATAACCAATCATTCCTGGTTATGTTACCCAAGAATTAGAGTAAATCTTTGATTTTTTTTGTGATTATGAATTCAAAATGGAAGGCAAGTGTAATATAGGAGAGACCTGTGGACATGATTAATGAACAGAGGAAATATTCTTTTACTGCATGGACTCTCTACATTATTTTGGACTCTGATTTTTAAGTGAAAATAACTTTTATGTTCTAATAGTTGAATGAGCAGTTTCTTGTGGCAAGTCGATGGAATGGAAGGAACACTAGTGAAATTGCTAAGAATTTGGTTGAAAGGAGCAATGGAACTGGATTAAAATAGGACTCAAATTGGGCAAAGTTGCCAATGCATAAATTGTGCCAGACTGTGTAATTTTGTAAGTTTTCAATCAAATTTCTTACTTTTAGCATCACATTATTATTATTATAACCAAAAAGAAGTGCTAAGCCACAAGGGCTATACAGCCTTTAGTGTCACAACATTTAGGAAAAGATTGTCTACCATTTCAGATTTTTTTTTTAAACTGTGGACTTAGCGATATTAATTTTGGGGTCTGGAGAGTGTAAGCGTTAAACTCTACCTTCCTCTTGCATTAGCTACCACTAATAATGATAATATACGGTAAATAACAAAAAAAGGCACAATACCGTGACTGGAACAATACACAAATAACCTGCACACAGAAGAGAGTACAGTGTGACTTTGTAAATGGTCCAAGTCGGACTGAAACATCGTCGTTAGCTCCTCTCTTCTATGTACGGGTTATTTGTGTATAATATATGCTATTATTACTATTATTACATTATTATTATTAGTAGTAGTAGTATAGGTGGGCCCTGCTTATACAGCAGGTTAGGCTCTGGGCTACTGCTGTGAAGTGAAGCAGCCTTTTTTTTTTTTTCCACTTTCAAATGCATATAAAAGCCTGATAACATGTTTATGCTATCATATATTAAGTGAGCAATAGAGCTAGGCCTAAAAAATGCATGTACAGTATGCACATTACCTTAAATATTTTGTCCTTATAGCGAGTGGTGAATATATTTATTGTAGAAAGTCTGAATAAATGAAGAATGGGTATAATTGAAAACCGCTGTATTAGGAAAGTGCTGTAAAGCAAAGAGTTGTATTGCAAGGCCCACTTGTACCTTCTTGAAGAGCTCAGACATACTAGTAGTTGTTCTTAACATAATGCACAACACTACTACTACACCTGTTATCTACCAGCAGACACTAGTCTAGCAGACCACTTGCTCTTACTCTGCATGCCATCATAACCCCATACATTATATTTATTTATCCTTGTCTTCTTGAAATATGTATAGCCCATTACCAAATCTTTGAACCATAATTCATTTAAAAGTTACTCATTGTTATTTACCCCAGGTACTACAACCTTTCCCAATAAAGTTCCTACACCAGTGTCTCCCACTGCTAAAAAAGCCTAAAACATGTTTATAGTTTTGTACATTTATCACTAATATGTTTCACAGTAGGTTTTAGTTTATTTTCTCAGCATCAGTTATTGCATTATTTCACTCCCCAAATTAATCAGAATTTTCTGTTTACAGCAAAGACAAAATTAGTGTATATATATTGAAGCATTTTGTAGGTAGTAGGTTGGTAGACAGCAACCGCCCAGGGAGGTACTACCATCCTGCCAAGTGAGTGTAAAATGGAATCCTGTAATTGTTTACATGATGGTAGGATTGCTGGTGTCTTTTTTCTGTCTCTTAAACATGCAAGATTTCAGGTACGTCTTGCTTCTTCTACTTACACTTAGGTCACACTACACATACATGTACAAGCATATATATACACACACCCCTCTGGGTTTTCTTCTATTTTCTTTCTAGTTCTTGTTCTTGTTTTGTTCTTGTTTATTTCCTCTTATCTCCATGGGGAAGTGGAACAGAATTCTTCCTCCGTAAGCCATATGTGTTGTAAGAGGCGACTAAAATGCCGGGAGCAAAGGCCTAGTAACCCCTTCTCCTGTATAAATTACTAAATTTAAAAAGAGAAACTTTCATTTTTCTTTTTGGGCCACCCTGCCTTGGTGGGATACGGCCAGTTTATATTAGTGTGTATTATTACATTCATGAATGGAGGAACACTAAACCCATAGGGGTCATACAGCATTTGGGGAATGGGAGACTTTCAGGTTCAATGCAGTAAAGGGAAGGGCAGCTCCAATTTCTTGGATCAAGAACCCATCACCAGCATGAAAGAACATCCTTGATGCTGGTGCATATTATTATTGGTGTATAAGTTTAGTGATTGTGTGTGTTGTGTACATCATTACTTGTGTTACGTACATCATTACTTGTATTGATCGCACACTCATAAAATAATCTGTTATGTTTGTCTTTTATGTACTACATTTTTACATCTTTGTCAAATGTAACAAGGCGATTGTGTACCATGTATGGTGTGTACCATGTATGGTGTGTACCATGTATGGTGTGTACCAAGTGTATGATGTGCACCATGTATGGTGTGCACCATGTGATACTTAAAAACACAGAGTTCAGTTTTTCTTAGATTAAGATAACTGTATCTATACTAGAAGACTGGAATTATATATGCAATTAATTATTATTATTTGCAATTCATGCCCTATATGACTCATAAGGGTCATATAGTGTCTGAAGAATAGGAGGCAATCAGGACACGTTTCCTTCCTTGGATCAAAAGTCCCCTCCAGCATCCAGGAACCTCCTTTGAGGGGTGAACTGTATATACATAAAATGTAATGGAAAGTTTGAATGTATTTTAATATTTGAGATGAATTGGAATCTTTGACTTGAGGACATCATTAAAACTGGTGTAAGACAACTACCAGGAACACTTGTGAAACATCACCAGAGATGTAAAACTTTACTGTGTCAAGATGTGAATTATTACACTACTGTATTAGTTATATGAATAATTGTAGGAAAGACCAGTATTATTGTACAAACATTCTAGAGCCTGTATGATTTAACATATTAAGTCACAGCAGTTATTTACATCCTATATGCTGTATGATAGTTATAAACAAGTCATAGATGATAAATGTTAAACTTTTTTAACAGGCTGAAGTTAATTCCAACCAGGAAATTGTGTGAATTATGACAAGTGTGAATGTTGTGATTGACAATGTGTCACTTTCTTGGGTATGATTCTTTTAATTGATAATAAAAGAACTATTCACCATATTTTGTTCATAAATACTGTACTATAATTATCAAGTTGGCTCTTTGTTCTACTATGATGTATGAGGAAGCACCTGCTGAATATTTTTTTAATTGTCATTGTTGAACTATGTAAGTTTTGTATAAAATGAATCACTGTACACTATTTTATC